ATGACAAAATTCGAGTATGACTGAGTCGATAGCAGGAATAAATCCCAAGGTAAAGGGATAAGTATAAACAGAGGAAAAACCAATCCTATAAGAAGATATTCTCTGGTTTGGGTTAGGAATAGCTATATGAAGGTCATCTCTCCAACGACAATCTATTCGAACAGTGGAAATTAAGGGTTCAGTAATTAAAGAAGGATAAGTGTCAGCTCTCTCTAGTTTAATTACTTGGTCACGAAGGGATTCTTTATCATGCTCGAAAGATAAATCAGTTGGCACTATTTCTTCGACCAAAGATTCTTGCATCGACTCAGAAGATTCTTTGCCTTTAGAGGAAGATCTATTAATGAAAGAACCTCTAGAAGTAATACCAAATCTAGAAGAAGGAGTGATGGAACCAGAGGTACCACCACGAATGGATCCAAGGCCACGAAGCCTACCCCTTCTATGTCTCACAGGGGCATTGGAGAAACTGTCAAGAATTGGGACTCTTCTAGGGTTGGGATTTGAAGATGACATGGTAGAAAGGCTTGAACAGAGGAAGAAGTGAATAGAAGTAAATAGTGAAATATTAGGTAAAAATTTGTGGAAGGAGGATTAAGTTTATATAAAAGCAACCGTCAAAGATTAAGAAGTGTAATGATGGAAAGCCTATAATAAAGGCAACTATCACTTCGTGAATAGTGGAGTTGAAGAAGCCTTGAAAAAAGGCTGCAGAATTACAGAGCTAATGAGAAGGAGACACGTGTGCGATGCATTAAATAGAAAAGACAACTGAAGCGTTAGTACTGTCATAGCATTAATTATGCCAAAAATTCCCTTTTTAATGAAGATCCACTTCCCAAATATTTAATTGATAAATAAATGGAAAGTGGGGGAACTATCTGTATTGGGAAAAAACTGAATTTAAATATTGAAGATGACATGTCATGACACGTGGACCGGTCAAATAGTCAAAGCATGACAAACAGTTAGAAGACACGAGCAACAATAGATGCGGGAGAGAAGATACTTAAAGGTACAAGCTACTATCCAGATGAAACGAGACTCGTACCTGTTCGAGCCATTTAAAGCTCGAAGATCAGAAGGAATTGAAGATATGAATCTGATAGCGTAAAAGAGTCCAAATTCAACATTAAATGCCAAATACGTTAGAGAATTTGTATTTAATAAGAATGATTGAATAACGTTTCTTTTAATGTCATTTACTGCTCGTAATTGCCTCATTAAGACAAAGGTATTACACTTTCTCTTAGAATTGACTATAAAAGGAGAAAGTCACAACATCTGCAGGACATGAAATATCATTCCGATTATACTGAAATATACTCTTATTCATTGTTTTATTGTTGTTCACAAAATCTCTTATTTCTTGATTATCAGTAACCCGATTCCTCTATTAAATTCTAGCTTTAACCAAATATTCAGTTTTTTGGTTAAACAGTGGACAAATTAACCGATACCTCTATTGGTAAGAGATAACAGATATCCAATAAAATTAGTCAGGTATGCACAAGTTAGCCCGAATACCATAGTTATAAAAAAATGTACCAACTGCTCTTTTTGGTAATTACGAATTTTTATTACCAGGAAAATATTTACATAGTGTTCCGAAACCTCTAAAGTTGGACATCAGCCCAAACTTTAGTATACTTCATCTTCTTCCATGCATACAAATAGAAAACTATAAACTATGCTTTATCTACTAAACAATCTAACTAGGATAGTAATCAAGCTGTTTCAATAATGGTGCTAATTTCTTCCTCATTCTCCCTTTGCAGTGTATATCTTGAATGATCTGCCTCACTATAGCTGCCGCTGGTCTTGTCTTTTGTTGAAAGATTTTGTTGTTCCTATCCAACCAAGTATAGTACACACTTCCTGCTAGAGCCATGCGATATATTTCTGCTCTGGCACTATTGCCAGAAGCATGTTTTTGAGCACATTCAATTTCTTCCTTCCACCCCATAGCTTGACGCTGGATTCCCTGCCAATTGAGTATTTGTTGCCATATCTGAGATGTGATCTGACATTTAAAAAGCAAGTGCGTCTTCCTCCTCATTATCACATAGTGCACATGTTGTGTCATACCCCATATCCCACTTCTTCAATCTCATCTTTGTGTAAAGTCTGTCTTGTATTGCAAGGTATAATATGAATAACCATTTGGGACTACCCTGGTTATTACAGATCAATTTTCTCTATTGTACTTTAGAATATTTGTCTCTCAGCTTGTTATACATTATCTTGATAGCATATGTATCACCTTTTAGGAATTCCTCTATAGATACCCCTGCTTCCTCGAAGTAGTACTGTTTAGTCTTTAGGATTTTCTGAATCAGCCAAGATGCTTGCGGAGCATTGCTTTCCCACACTTGATTACCCTTTATATAGTAGATATGCACCTATTGAATTCACAACCTATCTTTCTTCTTGCATAAATTCCAATAATGCTTGAGAATGGCAGCTTTATTCCATGTGGGTATATCTACTATGTTGAGTACCGACTGCTCTTTGCATGGCTCAATCTTCATGTGTAAGCCTTTCAAAAACTTTCAAAAGGCGTAGATACTATGTCACACTGGACATAAAAGTTGTACCAAATTTATGAAGTACTAAAAGCAATATAGTAATTGGAAAAGAAAAGCAAAAAAGCAAAAAAGAAGACGATGACACAAGGACTTAAGACTAGTAATGAAAGAATTAATATTTCAGTTGACAAAGAATCAAATGGAATGGAAGGAAACCCAAGGCATTCCAATCACTTCGTGTACGAAAACTCATTATCTGAGGCCTAATAAGGTCATAAAGAGTAGGAAAGTAGCTGTAGAATATTTTTTTATAAATCATGTCTTGCTGTTAATTAAGGATTATTAGGCCCCATTGAAAGAGAAAATTACTTTTATGTTTATTCTTTATTTTTAAATAAGAATTTCGAGTTTGAGCCATAAAAATAAAATAATTATAATATAAAATGTTTTCCTCTTTCATGAACCTCTGATGAATCAGAATGTGAGTAATGAATGTCAGATGAAAACTTAAACAAACAACAAGTGCTACTACAGTACTACATCCCTTGTTTTGAACTCAAACTTTATAAATATACGAGCAGAATTTTTTTTTTTTTTTAAAAAGAATATAAAGCGCACACACTCTAACATCATTAATTTAGATTTTGATCAATCGGACCACATTTCCAAAATAATATTCTCTTTTGTCAATATGAAATGACGCTCACAAGCAGACAGGGATACCACCAAGGATTGAGGTAAAATAGACAGGATCTCTCCACCCTTTATCATATACTTTGCGATCAAACCTCGAAAGTGAAATTTATTTTTGTAAAAAGTAATTTCCGCTTAAAAGACTTCAAGTGACTTAAATCTAAATTAATTAGATCATGAATGCTAATACTAGACATCGAGTGCATAAATAAATAAAAAAAATTAAAAATAGAAACGACGAGGGGAAAGATTGAAGAGTAGGTGAAACCTCGTAATTTCCGTAAAAAACGGAAGTTTCGAAAAGTACAGAGAACAGTTTCTACTTCTGCTTTTGCCAGCAGCTTTCTGAGAAAGATTCTTCTTCTGGGCATAATTACCTATCACAACCATGCACAAAAATCAACCTTTAGTCCTAAGCCATTTTGTCTGGTGTGAGCTACACTTTTGTTCTACCCTCTTGTCCACACCCTATTAAAATTTCTCATATGCCCCCATATGTGCCATTTCATAATGCATTTACATTACAATTGGGCAAATTGGTTTGAATAAAAAAAAAAGTCAGTCTGATGCACTAAGTTTTAGTTATGTGCGGGGTTTGAGGAAGGGTCAGATAACAATAGTTTGTGTACGTAGCTTTATCCTGTATTTCTGCAAGAGGCTGTTTCCATGGCTCGAACTCGTGACCTATTAGTCATATGACGATAACTTTACTAGTTACGCCAAGGCTACCCTTCCTGGGTTGAATATCATATTTTTATTAAAATAAAAGCAGTCAGGGGTGCGAACCGTGGAAGTAGCCACTAATGCTGACATTAGGGTAGACTATCTACATCACACCCCTTAGCGTGCTGTCCTTTCCTGAATCATGTGCGTGTAGGGGTGTTCATGGTTCGGTTTGGATCGGTTTTTCTCTAAAAAAAAAAATCATACCAACTAAGTCGGTTTTTCAAATATTAGAATCAAACCAAACCCATTAAGTCGGTTTTTTCTCGATTCGGTTTATGTCAGATTTTATCGGTTTTCCGGTTTTTTTGGTTATTTGTCGGTTTTTTCTTAAATATAAGACATACACTACCAAACACATATTCCGGCGATCACATTTTCAATGTAAAACTATCAAATCAATTGCCTTTTGAGAAATCTATTATTTACTAAAATATATTGATGATAATTGAATCAAATAGTGATGAATAATTTAAGGACTCAATTAAAAATATTTTTTTTAACATGAAATGGATTTTTACACTTAACAAAAGAAAACTGCCAATCAAACTAGAATATAAAGGTAAAAAACTGTACTAAAACTGCAAACGATTAACATTTACCATAAAAAATTTAAAACTTTGTATAAAAATATACATATATATAGGTGTAATAATAAATTTGAAATAGCTACTCCTATAGACGGTTTGGTTCGATTTTTTTCGATTATTTTTTTATTAAAACCAAAACCAAACCAAATTTGATCGTTTTTTAAAATTCAAAAATAAAACCAAACCAAACCAAAAAGTATCGATTTTTTTGGTCGATTTGGTTTGGTTTTCAGTTTGGTTTGATTTTTCGAATTTTTATGAACACCCCTATGTGCGTGAACACATGATGCCTTGTGTGCCATGCTACCATCGACCCTTTTATATTAAAAACAAAAGTAGATATGGAGGAAAAATTAGATTATGAAAAGGGCAGTTTAGAGATTTGGTCAGACATAAATATAAACTATGGTCCCTACCTTCTCTCCCACAAAAATCTTGTTAAAATCCTCCTTTTTTCTTCCTCCCTTCGCACCATTTCACCAAGTAACCATGGCCAATATTCACAGCATTCTCACACCCTCCATGATATTATGCACACTTCTTCTACACCTCTCTCTCTTTCCTTCTACAATTTCCTCAATTAGTTCCATCCATGACCTTCTCAAAAGTAAAGGACTACCAGCTGGACTATTTCCAAAAAATGTTGTAAAATCATATAATCTTGATAAAAATGGCCATTTGGAAGTTTATTTAGAAAGGCCATGTGTTGCAAAATTTGAGACATGGGTGTTCTTTGACACTATTGTTAAAGCTAATCTTAGTTATGGTGGATTAATTGGATTAGAGGGTCTATCTCAAGAAGAGCTTTTTCTTTGGTTGCCAGTGAAAGATATCATAGTTTATGATCCTTCTTCTGGTTTGATCTTGTTTGATATTGGTTTGGCTCATAAACAAATATCCCTCTCCCTTTTTGAAGAGCCTCCTCTTTGTACTCCTCAAGGTAACCTCTTTATTCTCCTTTGTATCTGAGTAGATTCAAAATTTAGACGTTGTGAGTTCTGAGTTGAGAAAGTGAATATTGAAATCATTTATAGCTCCCACGTAAATAAGTAGTTGCGAAGCAGCTACAATATTGAAGTTAGATAGAATATAGAGTAACGATGTAGAAACAAGAGGAAAATGAAGAAAATAATGGATTGGGAAGTAATATCAGTCCTAAACCCCTACTTGCCTCTCTCGTACATATATATAAGATTCGACCCTGAAGCATTGGATTATGTCCAACTCGTGAACTTATTATTGGATCCGCCACTGCTTTGTAATACTATATTTTTTTAGATTTACTCAATTTTCTCTTATACTATTCTTAACACCGTAAAGTTGTTTTCGTGTGACCTATTCTCAAAACTGATGCTTGCGTCAGGGTCACACCCCTTAGGGTGCGATCCTTTCCTGGATCCAATGTGAACGTGGGATGCTCAGTGTATCAGGCTGAGTGCGATCCTTCCCTGCACCCTACGTGAACGCAGGATGTTTCGTGCATCGAGCTGCCTTTTTTTGTTCTTAATTAGTTTAATTTGTCTTCTCACCTTATGTTATTCAACTTGCATCCTTGGTAATCAAGAACATCTTTTTATGGTTTGTCCATTTGCGACTCACTCTTAGTTTGATGTTGGAAAATGCAGGTTTATTAATGGAGAATGATGAGATTAAGGAGTCTGGATTCAGAATTGATTCAAGATTTTCCAGTCTCTGAACTCTGATGTGCTACTGATTTTGCGGCGTAATTCTTGGCTCCGGCTTTGTCTCATTTGAGGGCGGTTGAAAACTTGAAACATGGACAAAAGAAAGTGGAATGAGATTTTTGATTTAGATGCTTGTAGTAGGATTGTAAAAAAAAAAAAAAAAGTGGAAACTAACAATATAAAAATTTTGGAAAGAAAATTTTGGAATTTTTTAAATTACTTGCTTGTTAAAAAGGATACATGAGTCGTGAAATATAAAAAGCGGAAATATATTGTGAGACTATATGACTATTTCAATTCTCTTCTCTCTTAAAATGATTGTTAGTTGTTCACAAATTCAGAGGTCGAGATGGATTTAAAATTTACGGGTTCAAAATTTTAATCCTTTAAGTTATTGTATACTAAAGAATTGTATTCTACTTTACTATTTGTACATATTCAAAAAAAGATTTTAATATAAATACAAAGTTTGGATCAAAGTTACTAGATTCGGTAGAATCCATAATCAAAACTCTAGTTCCACCTTTGGTTCACATAGTTACCAGCTAGGCCGACAGCGGAAGCACGAAAAATCACCATAGGGGTAAAAAAAAAAAGAGTAAATACGAAAAGAAATTAAATGGATTCAACACATAACATAAATATACATGGAAAAAAATTAACTTTATATATAGCTAGGTGTGCGGAAGGAGTTCCTTCATAAAATTATATATATATATATATATATATATATATATATATATATTTATATATATATATAATTTTATGAAGGAACCCTTCCGCACACCTAGCTCCACCCCCTGCCCAGGCTGGTGCAATCATCAAGTTCTTATCTTTTTCTCATGAGGAAGATTAAAGGAATATACGACTTGGATCCTTTTGTCAGTTTTTGATATACGCTATGGCTTAATAATAATAGAAAGAATTACGGATATAATCACTTGGCCCAACAGCCCAACTAAAAATGGCATAAGTTTGAAGTCTTTACACGATATGGTCCATGTTGCATATAATTTGAAAGAAACTTTTCATTCTTTAGCCCATTATTAAAGATATACTTCTAGGGTTTTTTTCTTTGCTTCTTTCTTCTTTCTTCTTTCTCAGCATACTCAATCTCTCTTCACTCGCCTCTCCTTCCTTCTCTCTAAAAATTACAGGATTTTTTTCTATACACTCGTGATAATTGCTTTTGAGCACTCAAATGAAGAAACAAAAACAAATACTGTAATATTTCAGTAATTTTTGTGATCTATACAGATGTGCACAATGGCTCTTTAATCCTCGCATTCTATGTCAATTCGATTTCGATTTTTTAGTTAATTGACAAAAGGAGGTTAAGGAACCACAATAAGATTTGGCATATCAGTCCAAAAACTATCAGATCTGGCCTAAAACTATCAGATCTTGCCTAAAAGAGCATCTCCGGCAACCTCGTCTCATATTTTCTTATTTCTCTTAGTTTTTGTTTCATCTTTTGCAACTGGTGAAGCCCAAATTTGAAGCCAAAAACTCGCCGGAAAAATTCAACACCAGCAACCATCGAAATCTGTAATGTGGCGATGGACAGAAGGTGTTTTCTAGTGTAAATTTGTATAGGTAGTGTTTATACACACTTATACAATATTGTATAAATATGTATAAGGGTGTATATCTGCGTACAATGTTGTATAAATTATCTATTTTTTAATGTATAAGTGTGTATATACGTCATACGTGTATAATAGGGCATCCATGGATGTTTGACACTTTTTTTTTTCTTCTTTGTCTTATTTTTCTAATATACATTATTAGGTATTGTATATACAAGTTTATACAAAGTTATACATCATTATACATGTAATGTACATGTGCAGTTAAATCTAAATTAAAATTTTATATGTTTAATCTATGTACAAATCGACTTTTTTTGTTGATTTATTTGCCAAATCATGAACATGCAATAATTTTTTCAATTTTTATTTTTTATTTTATGTCTATTTTGGAACTTTGGAAAAGTAAGTAAAAATTTAAGGTTTTTACTAAGTTGATATTATATATAGTAGTTAGTTTAGTTTTAGTNTTAAGGTTTTCAAGTTGCATTATATATGAATTTGAATTTTTTGTAGCTGGAATAGGAATATATACAAACTTGGGGAAGAAGAATAAAAAATCACAAAATTTTTGTGCTTGAAGATCTGCAGAATAAAAAAAAGAAAAAAATGCTTATTTTTCGAACTTTGGCCTATTGTTAATGGGCTACATATTTGCAAAGTTGTAACTGGGTTATTCTGATGCAATGTATATGGGTGGACTGTATTTTTGTGTAATTCTCCCATAATAAGGTGAAAGGCGTGAGTCTGATGTATCACTTTTTGCCATGTTCAAGGGCGTATCCAGTGTAAAAGTTATGGGTTCATTTAAACACATAATTTTCGCTTATATCTTGTATTTTTGCACAAAAAAATATTAAATTTGTATAAATAATAAATTTTGAAGCCATTAAATTAGATGGAATATGGTAGAATTACGAATCTGAACCCATAAAATTCAAATTCTGGATCCGCCCATATTGCCCGACTTAATCAATTATTACAAGCGGCAATGCGTGTCCGAAGTTTTATAATCTTTAAGCTTTTCTAAAAGACAGGTTGCTGTAGACATGTGTGGAGCATCAATTTGAGACTTTATGCTATTCAAAACTAGCAAACTAAATTTGTTTTGAGAGAGATAGACCTGTTAATAGGGGGAAGGGGAAGAAAGAAAAGGGAAAAAATCCAAGGTGAATTTGACGTTATACCTAAGCGGTGCCTATGTCTATAGTTTTTATTACTAAAGTTTTGGACCCCCAACCCCCTCCCTCCTTCAAGGGACAAAACTGAAATAACAAATTTTATGGTGAATTTATTCAATCCTAAGGAAAGCCAAAGTCAGTAAAATACATAATTAATTTGAGTTTAACTTCTACGTACTAATGGTTTTGTTATTGGTTTTCTTTATTGGTTTAATCTTAAGTTGTTAACCATTAATTGGAAGGGGTTCGAATGAGAATATAATTGCGCCTTATAAGTTACATTTCATAAATGTGATCTAAAAGCTAAATTCACATATGAGACTTGTGGATAGCGGTTGATGTTGCGACTTATAAATTGCAATAGTAAATGAGCATTGCAAAATATAAATCGCCATACTTGAATGCGATTTATAAATCGCTATCTTTGAATGAGATTTACAAATCGCACTAGAATGCGATTTATAAATCGTAATTATAAGTTAACTTAATACCCCCAAAGCAGTCTGACCTCTGAAGTACTTTAAGCCACAACACTCCATAAGACCTAAAATCTGACGAGTTCCAGTAATTAAAATCAGTCTGACGATCGTCTCCTCTTTTTGAGCACACTCGCGCGCAAGAATGCCAAACTACCTTCGTTAAATTACTTAGGAAATAATTTTTACATAGGAATGGTGTAAATAATTTTTAACACTAACACATCACATACAAGATAATTACAAGTAACTATTTGAAAAAAATAAGATAAGTAAGTTGCTACAATAGATTAACATGCACTAGTAATGTAAAAGTTCTTTGAATTGTATGTGCAAAAAAGTTGAATTCAACTCATATTTTGCAAAAAGATCAACCTTATAGCCATAGGTAAGAAATATCATGCCTTTAAGTTATCTCTTACAGTCTTTTGCTAATACCCATTTGACTTATGTGAAGTGCAGTATATAGTCTAGCCCAGTGTTGTGAAAAGCGAGCGCTTCCTCGCTTAAAGCGAGAAGCGAAGCGAGGCGAGCCATTGAACGCTTATGTTAGCTGAAGCGTAGCAGGTTTACAAAAGCGCTTACTTCCCATTAAAAAGCGAGAAGCGACGATGCGAAGAGATGCGTAAGAAGCGAGTGCTTCTCTGTATTACAGGCTACCAACCTATTTAAGTAAAAAATTTATTCTTTTTTTAAAACATCAACGACCAGCAGCAACAGAGAAAGAAAGAGGCGACCTAGGGTTCAAGTTTTCTGCACTTTTCAACTTCAAGATCATCAAGTTTGGTCCAGGTATGTGATTTCTTCCTCCTCCTCGCGCTCCTCCTCCTCCTCCTCCTCCTCCTCCTTCTTCTTCTTCTTCTTCTTCTTCTTCTGCTTTTTCTTTTTCTTTCACTGTTTCATCGTCCAAATAGCAGCGAAATGCTAGCGATTTTTGTTTTCTCTTCAGTTCTTCTTTCTCATTCTTCTTCTTCTTCTTCTTCTTCTTCTTCTTCTTCTTCTTCTTCTTCTTCTTCTTCTTCTTCTTCTTCTTCTTCGTTTTCTTGCACTGTTTTTTCATTTGAAATTCTGCCTATTATTTCTTTTCAGTTATACGGCCCTTCTTCTTATTTTCATATCCTTTATTCTTAGTTGTTATTGCCTTTTTTATGTGTTATGTAGTTGTTCTTTTAATGGCACCAGAAGAAGATAGGAAAGACCTGACTTGGGCTTATTCTGCAAGAGTTAGCGAGATCAGCAAGATGACTATTAGATGTCTTTTTTGTGATAAGATTTCAAATGGGGGAATCTATCGTCAAAAAGTGCATCTAATCGCTGGTGATCCAAATATTGCATCTTGTCCTAAAGTTCCACCGCATGTGAAGGAAGAATTGAAAGCTTCCTTAAGAAAAAAAGAGAGTTAAAGACTCAAATGCTTCTTGAACAAGAATTGCATAATCTTCATGATGACGATGATGAAATAGAATAAGGTGACTATGTTTCATCGCTTCCATTAAAATCACAAAAGCGGGGAAGGATACAAACAATGGGTTTTAGTTGTGGATCTACTGGTAAGACCAAAGGTCCTATGGATTGTTATTTCTTGCAAAAATCAGGAGATAAGGGAGGGAAAAGTGGTAATCATCAAATTGATGCCAACGCGATTTTGAGGGATTATGCAGTTGCAATATTTGCGTGGTGGATGTATGATGCAGGTTTTTCTTTTAATTGTGTTAATTATACTGACACATTTTATGCTTTTATTAAGGTCGTAGGCCAATACGGTCCAGGAATGAATCCTCCAACTTATCATGAAGTTAGAGGTTCATATCTAAAAAAAGAGGTGGAAGAGACTAACAGAATCGTGGAGGTGCACAAAGTAAAATGGAACAAATTTGGTTGTTCCATTACGATGGATAAGTAGATGGCAAGAAATGAAAAAGTGATCATTAATATCTTGGTGAATTCTCCTAAGGGAAGCTTGTTTCTTGAGTCCGTTGATGCAAGCGACTCTTCTACTGATTCAACAAAAATGTACTCCTTGTTCAAGAGTACAAT